AAAAAAAAAAAAAAAAAAAAAAAAAAATCAACATATGTCAAAGCTTGATTGAACATTTATGTCCTTGAAGTAGCATCACAGATTTCTCAAAACAGTAAGATTATCTGAAAGGGAACAGGGGAAGTAAAAAACCTCTTAATTTTTGTTCTTTCTTTTGCTAGACTGAAAAGTGTTAGTGCTATGGAAGGACTTGCTGACATTTCTACCTGTATATTGCAGACAACATGTTGTCTTAGGAGACTGTTTAAAGTACCTGCTAATCATGTATAGACTAAATTTCTGCTCTGTAAAGCAACCAATTATTGTTAATTACTTGAGTGGTCAGTTAAGTTAAACACCCTAACAAATGTATCCTAAGTACCCTAACTATAACCAAGGAAAATCAGAGAGAATAATATTAAGGAGCTTTTGGAATTAAACAAGGTAGGAACTTAATGACTTGCATGATTATTTCCAGTTTCTCTCTAACATAAAAAACCCAGAAAGGTTAATCACGTCCAGGAGGGTTTTTCATGAGAAAGCTATTGAATGAATCAAGAAAAAGTAGGTGATAAATGCCTCAGAAAGTTCTCTTATAGTTTAGTGATTAAACATGAAAATACATTTCAACAAGAAGGGAAAGTAAAACAAGTTTCAAAATCATTTAATAGCACTGGCTTAGACAGAAAATCAGTGCAAGAGAAAGAAGTGAAACACACATGATGCTGTCTGTTTGCATTCATTCTGTAGAAAGGAAAAAACATTTTTCACATGTGGATGATGCTATTAAAGTAAAAAGGAAAAGTCACTACAAAATGTCACTGTATTCATCTCTACCCCCTAGCTTCTATCAGCTCCTCTCACTCAAACAGCATTTGATTTTTCTTGCTGCCTGGCTGCTATACAGGCATTGATTGCCACCCACTACCAAAACACCACAGAACTCCCATGAAACCCATCCTATGGAAAGGTGGAAAACTGTGAATGGCCAACTGACAGAGAGGAATATATGAGAGTCAAATATTGATACGCATCTAGTTTTATGTGTGGAAAAGGAGACGGTAACCACACATGTCTGGACAAGCCGAAAGACAACTTACTGTACTACATTACCTGGGAAAGACACTTGATGTTTAAGGCTTAACATGGAGAAGCCATAAAAGTATCATAGTTGATGGTCTCTGTACTGTGGTCCTACTTCCATGGAACACCACTGAGAATTACATATTGGCAGTAAAGGAAGATGGCCAGGATGCCAGGGGAATAAGTAGTAGGGACACACTGGTACAAGGCAGGTAGATACCAGCTGTGCATAGGGAGGATGAGAAAATAAGGGGCTTTACCTAGCCAAATCACAGACAAACAGCCATATGAAAAAGGGTGAAATCAAACTACAGGAAAATGAAACTTAGCACTTTTGTTTTGCAAGATCTGTAACAAAGCCTTTACGAGCAATGTTTATATGCATTGGAATTCCATTAGCAAGGGG